AAAAAAAACAGTTGTTTTACCTTGTTCCTCCTCCATCAATAGTGAGGACTCGAATTCCCCGGCCTTTGACAGGGTCTGTATATCCAATTATAGCTAAAGTCTCTCTAACAGCAGCCTGAAGACTTTCGTCATTTGCCTGTCTCAGTCGCAGTAGGCAGGGGATTAATTTTTCCTATTGATAAATACAAAAAAATTTCATTCTAACTATATGCTTATACCAAAATAATCTAGACTTATGCTTACTAGTTTGGCATTTAAGTATAAAAGTGATACCTTAAACTCAGATGAAAACTTATTTATATTGGTATTTACCCATCTTTCTTTCTAGCAAGGAAAAGGAAGGACTCCACTGTTATGTACTACACCCCTCATTGCTAGAGCAACTACCTATAAGAATTAAAAAAATCAAGGTCAAATGTAAAGCTTTTGAATAGCTAGAAAAACTGTATTTATCAGAAGTGTAGTTTTATTGACATTATGTCACTGGCCAAAGTGGAGCACACATCCTTTAGTACAGCTAAAAGCCCAGATATTGCTGAATAGGTATCATTGCCTCAAAACAGGAAATGCCAAGTACACTGATATAAAAACAACAACAAAAATTCTTCCTTACTCTGAGCAATTCTTAAATTTACAATTATTATCACAAAGATAGAGAGTATTATAATCAAAATGGGAGTAGTGCTTGTACTCTTTCATAATAAAGTAATTCACAACATCTATTCACGTGGGTGCCTGACCCATACTCTGCCTAGATGATTCATCTGGCCTGCACTCCATTCCCAAAGATATCTTTTCCAGCAGTTGTACAATCTATGTCACACATGTGTCACAACTTGTGGAAAACGGCACAGGACTGATGAATGCTGTGATTTGGCTAGTACTACTAGATTAGTTTATGACCCACCTCCTGTCTTTTCAGTGCAGGACTAGATTACATGAACTTATTTGATGGTTATACTCCACTCTTGTCATCTCTCTTCGAAGGAATCATGTAAACAAGCACAAAAACTGTTGTGCATTTGCAGATAAACTGTACTGTACGTTCCCATCTGGTCAACTGTGACAGAGAACACAGTGTATGACCTCTGCCTACCACTAGAATAACCTATACTATCTATCACATGACAATGCTGTGTGCTTCTAAATTAAACATTGCAGTCTTAAGAGCCCTAAGCTAAACTTCTAATAGTTTACATATGAATCTGAACCAGCCAAAAAAATAACTGTAATCTTTACAACTGTAAATCCTTACAAATAGAAAATGTGACCAGCCCACAAAAGCAAAGAAGAAAGTTTTATGTTATTCTATGTAATTTGTCTGTCAGATATTGATTTTTGTCTAGGCATAAAGATTATTTGCACCTTAATTGCAACTCCTCTGCTCTCCGGAAATTCTAGAAGATGATAGGTCAGCTCTTCAACCCGGTTGATACAGACTCTTTGATTAGAGGATCTCCGTAGGGCTTGAACTAAAGCTCGAGTTCTGTTATCAATACTCACTCTTGCAATAATCTAAAAAAAGATGAAGTTACACAAATAACACAAAAATACTCTAAGAATGTTCAAGGTTTTCAAGACTAGTTTCAAACTGTTATTTTAAGATTTCTCAGAAGGAATGGACAGCATGTTGTTCTGGAGATATGCTACAGGCTCTAAGTAAGCATTACTTGAATGTAAAGAGACCAAAGTTTTGATTCATTTACTAGAAAAATAAATAAAGCCAGATCACAGCAAAAATACCCCAAACAAACATGTCAGTGTTTACTTGTAGTTTTTGCAGAGCAACTCTGAAATCACAGTATTTGGAGCACAACACAGTATAAGATCCTTGTAACTTCAAAAAATAAAGTCAACTATATCTATATTTATATACTCCCTACATATATATAAACTAAATATATGTACATACGATACATATAAGTTTGTGCATATATGTAGATTTTATGTTGGAATTTATATATATGCTTTAAGAGAAGTATATGCATGTCATATATGTATACGTACAAGAATATATATAATATGTATTTATTGTAAGTACTTCTATATATGTGAGTTTACATATATAGAATGTGTATGTTTACTTTTATATACATGTATACATATACATTTATTAAAGTACATGTGTACTTATATGTAAACACACTTCTAAATAAATGCATGTGTACGTATATATGTACTTATATGCAAGTACATACACAGGTATATACTTATTTCTGGACATATATAGGTTTATACATGCGTGTATAGTTTATATGTCCACTTGTATAAAGTACACATATACCTCAAAATAATATAAAAAAAGTAACACTAAAGAAAGACTTGCCTTTTCTCTCTGAAGAGACAGATGTTTTTCTCTCTCTTCAGCAGTCTTAGCCTCTTTTGCTTTATCCTCCTCATCTTTCTCAGACACTTCTTGTTCTGGCTGTTTACTCTTTTCTTGGGAAGCTACTTTTGAATCAGATCTTAACTTGGGAACCAACCCACCAATGTAACTGTCTACAAAAGCTTGTACACTGTTACTGGGATATGAAAGGAAGTTTGCAATACTTTTTTTAGTGGAAACTGGAAGAGCAGTCTTTGACTTTTCAGCACCCAGAGTCTCTGCTTCAGATGCCAACGTAGCTGCTGAATCCGCTATCTTTTCTTCACTCATTACAGTATTTTCTGATGAACCAGGTTTATTCCTCTTTTCACTTTTAGAGTCCTGTAATACAGCACTGTTTTTTTTCCCCTTATCCATAAGAAAATGATTATTAAAGTACCAGTTGATGTGATCAGCTACGAAGTTGTAAGTCTCTCCAAAATTCGTAGAAAAGCAGCTTACATGAAAAAGGTGGTTTTTAGTAAATGCTGAATCTTCTGGAGTATCTTGATTAGCACCACTTGACCTTACCAACATAGCCTCTGACTTTTCATTTGCACAAGTGAATTTCTTTGTAACTGGGCCTCTGTTGCAATCCTCCTGACGTCTGGCATCTGTAACTTGTTCAACATTTTCTAGATTTGCATTGATGTTATTTGCATCTGCACTGCTCTTATTTGCTTTTCCCGGAGTACCCGAGTGTGACTTCAATCGAGCTATTCGTGAAACCAATTCACTGTGAGTTCCAGACACCGCCTTTGAAACAGATTCTATAGTACTCTTTATTCGTGACATGCGATTGTTCACTTTTGTAAGTCCCTTGGAAGAAGAAGTCAAAAGTTTAGAAACTCTGTAGTATAAAAAGTCATAGCTGTAAACATATTTGTTATACCAAAATGTTCTGCTTCTGGCCCATTTACATCGAGGCTCTCCTGTATGAAAAACTCTCAGATGACCAGCATGATTTATCCTCCAGCAGACTTTAGGTGTATACAAACACAAGTATTTGCTTCTTTGCTTCCACCAAAGACTTTTTGGGTTAAGGACAAAGAACAAATATGCGTCTAAAGATAAATGAACTGTCATTACTTATAAATAATTACACCTTTTCAATGTTGCTTGTTCACTTCATTCCAGAAAATATATTGCAATTAATAAGTCTCGTATCACGGTGTTATCTGAAAAATGAACAAACAAACAATGGAATGCCTAAACAAGTAACAAGTTAAACTAAAATCACACAGTTGCTTAAAGCAGATGTAACTTACGTATTATTTCAGTCAAGACAGGTAAACATTCAAATTCAATAATCTCATGGGGATTTCTACTGCTTAGAACGTTTCATAGTGCCATTCCAACCATTCCTTAAGAGGCCAATTTAAGTCCACCTTGAGCAATATGCAACACTTTGCTGAAAGCATTTAGTGACAGAAAGAAAACTGCATGCTGGTTTTCCAGTGGAGAGAAATTTATACATCTTTAGCAAACTATCCTGTGCATAGACCAAATTTCAAATGAAACTGTCACTGAATCACCCCTTTGCAGAATTCATCCCAGGGGAGAAAAGGCACCAATTCCTTTCCTTTCCAATTCCTTTCAGTAAAAAGCCACCAGTTCAATGACACACTCTTATCCTAAGATCTATGCTGAGCTAGTTTATTCTACATGGAAAACTGGAAGTTTTTGAGGTGGTTCAGAGTTTTACACAGTTTACAAGAACTGCACTGAAATCACAGAAGCAAAGCCATTATTTGCCCAACTAGCAAACTCTGACTTCTCTAGTTCCTATGCCAAGAGCCAGAGGTCAGACAGAAGAACACCTGCGCCGGGTGACGCCAAAGCAACAG